ACAGGGAATCCAGGGTGGATGATCCCTTCAGGACCATCACATCCCAGTGGTGTGAGTGGCGATACTTGGAGGGTAGCGGGAGAGTGGGTTGGAAAGAGAGAACCGATTATAGGGAACTATATATGATCTCCTCCCTGGGGGACGGACAACAGAAAAGTGGGTGAATGGAGACATTGGACAGGGCAAGATATGACAAAATAATAATTTATAAATTATCAAGGGCTCATGAGGGAGGGGGCAGCAAGGAGGGAGGGGAAAATGAGGACCTAATGCTGGGGGCTTAAGTGGAGAGTAAATGTTTTGAGAATGATGAGGGCAATGAATGTACAAATGCGCTTTACACAACTGATGTTATGTATGGATTGTGATAAGAGTTGTTTGAGTCCCTAATAAAATGATTTTTTTTAAAAAATTTACAGTCTCAGAAACCCCAAAAGAGAGCTCTATTCCAACCTATAAGTACACTATGAGTGTGAGTTGACTCGTTGGGAGTGGATTTACTGGTTTGTCAATGGTAATAAATGTTATCCACAAATAAAAACATTAATAATCAGGAAAAAAAGTAACTGGTATATTATACCATTCAACTATGTAAGACATTTTCAGACAGGTTTCACAGTATGACTGAAGGCCAAAATTTCTATTGCATACTATACCTGTTATTTCCAGCAGATGAAATGCGTACGTTTGACTGTTCTGTGAAATCACCATCAGATTCCATAGAAGGCACCTCCCTTCGTCTGTTCCCGTATACCCTTAAAAACACAGTAGCTTGTAGAGCACCCTACACATACAGTGTAACATTTTTTGTCTCTTTGGTGTTTTTATATGTGACATTGGAAATATTAGAGAGATAAAATATTATAATGGAATTTTATTGTAAAAACATTTGAGTTCATTCAAATGAGGTTTGATTCAAGAAGTATCTGCTAGTTAATGAAAGATACTAAAATTTTAGACCAAAATCTTTAAATAAGGAGTCATTTATAATTATTTCACCATAATAGCTGGAAATTCATCATTTCAGCCCTATGCATGTAGAAGACTTTCTCAATAAGTTAAATAATGCTTACTGAGCATCTACTGTGGTACACCAGCACGACTGTAGACACTAGGTGTCCAGCAGTCAGCACAGCAGACACAATGCCTGCCCTCAGGAAGAGTAGTCACACTACAAAATGAAAGCACTGTCTGAGGTCATAATTCATAGGTCTTGGGAAATACTTCACTTCAAATGCATGTCTTTTTAACTTAAAAAATACAGCATCAATCTAACTATTAAATCAAATGTCACAAGCCATAACATTTGTAACACTGTAAACCACATGAAAGAACATAAATGAGTAAAAGATTAATGAAAACCATTATGTATAATAGACTGATGTATGGATAGAAAATTATTAATTCATCTTACTCAATGAAAACAAAAATTAGAATATCTAAAATTAGCTTTTATATCCTTCAAAGGAAACAACCATGAAAAGAAAATATTTTCAGTTAACAGATCTTTTTTCCATTTGGCAAACGTTGATTTCTTTAGCTTAATTTCTCACTGAAGAGCAATCAACATAATGTTTTATAATTATCAGCATCCATGAAAATCAGCACTTTACAAATCAAAGTTCTCTAGACAACAGTTAAATTTTATTTGGTCTTTCTCGAGAGGACTGTAACAAAAAATTAAGGCTTTTTTAAGTATCATTCAATGTCTTAAGTGGATTTCATTATCAAGAAATTAAGAAGTACAGCAATTTTGAAAGGAAAAGAATCTTCTTGTTCATTCTCCCTCGGTTCGTCTTCTTTATACAAGCCATTGTCGAGATCGTCTGTGGAAAAAAAGGTTGCCTGGAATGTTAAGCTTCGTGTATGACCTGGAATGGCTTCCTTCTGTCCTAAACAGCAGAACTCTGTGAGCTCTTTCAAAAAAGAATTTCAATTTCTCAAAATGCAACTGGTTTTATACCTATAACCTAAATGCTCAAATCTATCTTTTACATTAATTTAGTGTCCTTTTTGATATCTACCTCTTGAACAAGGAACATACAAACTCAAATTCAAACTTGCCATTAACATTGCCTGTCAGCCACATTGACACATAGTGCAGCCAAAAAACAGTTAATACAACACGCCTGAGGCTGCCTAGCCCTAGAAAGTCCTGCTGGACAAGGCTAGCTCTTGGCTGTGAACTGAAAACTTGAATTTGGGGGTAGGAGGGAAGGTTTCCACCATTCCCAGACTGATAAGAGTGGTTCACAGTATCGCAGTCATCTGTGTAAATGTATTTTATGCTGAATGCCTGCTTTGTTTTCAGGAATTTTGCTAAGTACCCAGCTATGTAAACCACAGCCCCAATAAAAACCTTAGTGGCTAATGGGTCATTTTCTGAATTCATTTTAAATTAAAGAAGTTTATTAAACTATTTTATATGTAAAATCAAATAGTCTTTGTTTAAATCTACAGTATAAAAGCATGAAGATTTCTTATTGATTAGCCATATGAAAGATGGTCTAAGGTGTTGTGTTAGCCATTACTGAGTAAGAAAAAATCATGAACAAATTATGAAAGTCATCTCTGTCATTACTAATCTGAAAAAAATCAAGACTAGAAAAAATGTTCAAGAGGGGGAAAAAAGAGTAGAAATATGTTTTTCACTAAAAAGGGCAGAATAAAATGTTTAGGCATTTTATTCAATCTTATAAAATGATTGTTTAACTAGGTCTGCTTTGTTAAATTACGGCATAATTACAGTTTAAAATCAAGGCACACACACACCCCCACCATGAATATAAAACCTTACTAATTTATTAAAGACCAGAACTTACAAGTGAAGCCTCTATACTGTAAAGTCAAAGAATAGGTTGGAAAGCTATGATACTTTTTTCTCTGTATAAAAAAGGATCCCTGTGATTGTGATAGGGTTTCCCTCATCTACTAAACTTCCTCTCGTGTTTTTAATAACTTTGACATGCAGTCACCCTCAGTAGTAACTGGTTGGTTGGTAATCATCAGTTCACTTTAGCAGCTCCCGTGGTAGCTTTGCAATTTATTTTAGAAAGGAGGCTAATAAAGTTCTTTCTGAAAATAAGAACAAGAGAGCCAGCAATGGTTCTACCACTGTGCACAAGCTCTCTCTGACAATCCTCTCAACACTAAGGGCCTCCAAGTGATGGTACTTCCGGCACTGATGAGCTACTACATGTCTAAGGGCAGATACTTCTAATCAAAGCCCAGGAGATCAGTTTAGGTCCAGTCTTGTCTCTGGGAGGTCCTGTTTAGTAGCAGCTTTTGACTCAGACCAGCAAGCCTACAACCCACAACTAATCAATCAAAATATTCTAAAAACACATATATATACATATACATATATTCTATGGCTACAAGTCCATAAGGTTCACTGAACACAGAGAAAAGAGGCATCTCATAAAAGAGAATTTGCTTCCTTTAACCATAGCAAATTAGATGTGACAGAGGTGGGGGAAATTGCAAAATGTAGTTCCCACCCTACTATTAAAAAGAAAGCTAAATTTATGTTACATGGAAAAAGGCTTTCTCCTTCATTTCCTTGAACATATATAGGTCAAGAACTCTAGTTTATTAGATAAAATTCTCAATGCCCAAAAGATTTCAGGTAAAGACTAGAGAGAGGCAGTTTACCCTGAAATTAAAAATGCAAAAATATATTTTTAATTACTCAGTTAAAGAATAAAAGCAAATTGTTTCAACACAGCTCGTCATGTTCTGCTAATCTAAATGTGAGCAAACCGCTCCTAAATGATAATGAATACTTGATCCTTTTTCCCTAATAAGCCACCAAGCAAACAAACAAAAAGCAACAGCGTCAAAGCCATCACATTCTCATTCACAGCGACCCTATGGACAGGGTACAACTGCCCCTGAGGGTTTCTGAGACTCAACTCTTATCAGGAGTAGAAAGCCTCACCTTTCACCCAAAGAGCAGCTGGTGGTTTGGGACTTCTGAACTTGTGGTTGGCAACCCAGCATGCGCAACCACGGAGCCACCAGGGCCCAAAATACGCCATAGAAGCAAACACTTCTAAAACAAACTTGTAATGTTTATACTACCAATAATAGCACATCCTAAAAATAAATTATTTACTCACATTCCACCCACTGCCCGCAATCCAGTCCATTCTCCCTCATAGCCACCCTCCAGGGCAGAGTAGAACTGCTCCACAGGGTTTCTGAGGTTGAAAATCTTTTCAGAAGCACACTACTGCGTCTTCCTCCTGCAGCAAGGCTGGTGAGTTTGAATCCACATCTTTCGCTATCAGCCCAGTACTTAAGCCACTGCACCATCAGGACTCATCATAAGCTAGTCTTCTGGTACTACAGCTCACAGGAAGAATAAAATGTCTCCTTACTTAAAATATACTATCTAATTCATAATGATGGCAATTCTAGCACCTTGCTTACATTTCAAGAATTTTCAATTTTAAAATGAATTCTGCTATTTAAAAGTACCCTCACTGTAAATGTTCAAGGAGTCTTAACTATTGGTAACCATTCTCTCACAGTTTTCCATCTTCTTCCCCAGTTTTTAAATTTTACTTTAATTCGGCAATGATGTTTTTCTATTTCAACAGTATTTTTTAAGTGGGGAAATGGTTACCATATATACTCGAGTATAAGCTGACCCGAATATCCACCAAGGCACCTAATTTTACCACAAAAACTGCATTAAAAATGGAGGGGGGGGGTTTTCCTCAGCTTATACATGAGTATATTGGTAATATTAAAATGGCTCTTTCAAGGATAAGTAGAACTCAATTAACGACTCAAAAAACTACTGTCGACTCACAGCAACCTTTTAGGAAAAGAAGGAGCTGGCCCTATGAGTTTCCAACACCATAACTCTTTATAAGAGTAAAAAAAGCCCGGTCTTTCTCCTGAGGAATAGCTGGTGGTTTCGAACCACCTTGCAGATCTCAACCCAATGCATAACCACTAGGAAAATGGTTCAGCAAACTAAGTAACTGATACTCTTTTTTTTTTTTTTTTCTATGGTCAGCCCCTACAGGGACGTCATGAGTCTGAATTAACTTCATGACAGTGAGTTTGAGTTTTGAGTATGGAGAACCTCTTTATTTTCAAAGAATGTTACTCTCATATCTTTTTTTTGGTCTTCAATTTCTTTTTCTTTTTTAATTGTTTTATTAGGGGCTCATACAACTCTTATCACAATCTATACATACATCAATTGTGTAAAGCACATTTGTACATTCATTGCCCTCATCATTCTCAAAACATTTGCTCTCCACTGAAGCCCCCGACACCAGGTCCTCATTTTTTCCCAGTAACTAATATTCTACTAAGTTATCTTTCCCCATTTACCATATGAGTTAGTTAGTTTATCGTACAGGGCGGAGGGATAAATGGCTTGGTGAGCCTTGCCTTTCTAGTTCTCAGGTCTCTTGCTTTGTGATGGTCGCACCAGGGTGCAGCTGCCTTAGCAGTTCCCTGCTTTAGCTGGCAAGGCTGACTTCCTGCAAGACATCCCCAAGAAGAAGCCACATGGACCTACCCCGATGCAGCCCTGGGTGCTGGAAGCACCCATGTGGAGACCCCTGCCAGCGCTGAGATGCTTACACATTCACTGACTCGGCTTTCCTCCTGCAGTCGGCATCATTGCATCTGTTTTGTGAGACGGAGGAGAACACTTTGTGGATTGGTGTTGGACATATGGGTTAATGTGTTAATGTTGGACTTGTGGGCTTCAGCAGCACTGGGTTGGGATGTTTTCTTGATGCGTACTTTATCTTTATATAAAACTCTCTCTTATACATGAGTTTCTGTGGATTTGTTTCTCTAAAGGACCCAGACTAAGACACCATATATATTCAAGTATAAGCCAATCTGAATATCAGCGGAGGCACCTAATTTTACCACAAAAACTCCATTAAAAATGTGCTGAAAAACTCAGCTTATACACAAGTATATACGGGGTTTGTCTTCTGGCTGCATGCCCAGCTTTTAGAAAAGTATCCTCTATTAAATGCTAACTCTCTGAGGCTAACATAGATTCTAGTTTCAGATGGAGTGTTAGATTGCAACCTAGCAAATACCAAAAGTTCACTAGCAATGAAAGTACTGACTACATTAATCACAAAGAAAGTAAAAAGCAGCATCTTCAATGCTAGGAATTTCTTTTACTGATTAACATTAGTTAAAGTAAAACACAGTAAGATAATATATTAACTTCTACAACTCAAGTTAATAGATAACAAGAACCAGGACAACTATATTTAAGCAGAGTCTACACATTTCCAGGTATTATAAAACATACTACTACATTCAACTTTAGAAAGCTCCTAAAACATAAATTTTACTCAAAATAGTAAATATGTAGATCTAAATAAATACAGACACGTACAACACACAGAATGCACATGCCAAGCACAGTGCTAACACCCTATCACCCATTAAAGAGCACTGCCAGGGATTCAATGGGAGTCTCGGAAAGCAAATCTCTTAGCATTCCCGAGTTTCAGCTCTGCCATCTTTGAAGTAGGGGAAATACTTCATTGATAACTAAATTAAGATATATGGTAAAAAATACAGAAAGTAATTAGAAATGCATTGAGATTGAAAATTAAGAAATTAAAACATTAGATTTGCAATCATTCAATTACTAATGTGTAAGGTGAGAGGGGATAAAGAATAAGAAAACTTAGAAGACTGAAGGAAAATAAATCAGCTATACTTATTTTTCTGTTGAGAAGTTTCAGTTAAGACTACAGCATATTAAAACAAGAAACACCTGAAGCAAGAGGCCAACTATAGTTGGCCTTTAACAATGTTAAAGATCCTCTCAAATGATCTATATTAAATGTCTGTATCAATATAAAATATTTTGTTTCTTGGCTAGACATACAGACTCTACAAATCTGGGAATTCCATTTGAACCTAAATTGCCAAAGATACCAGAGAAATTATATTAAGAAATTCAGATTATTTGCAAAATGATAGTAGGATACAATGATGCCTGACATTTTGAAGAACTATTCCTAAAAACTGTTACCTGTCTAACAAGAATTATTCTCACTCACCCTCATGTTTCACTTACCTTTAAAGCACTACTTGGGAAAGCTTACATAGCAATAATTCAGTTCACATTATGGAATACGCAAGAAAAAATTTCTCAATGATGACAAAAAATTCATTTCCCAGTTCATGTATAAAATGATCACAAGGTATAATTATACAACAATAAAGTATTTTTTAAAAGCAACCACCACCAACCATTCTCAAAATTCCAAAGTGAAAAGGTATGCACACTATCAATCCTAAAGGTAAACAACCCTATAATGAAAGAAAGGCCGTGGCAGGGAAGGCATCACCAGAAGAGTCCAGTGTAACGCAGGTCCCCAAACGAGAGCTCTCTGCACTTAGGTAGCTTTTGATTACCTTCCCATACACTCATGTTCAGCTATAACACAGTCTAGGAATTGGAGCATTTTCTAAGTACAATTGGATTTAGAAATGAGGGTTGGCCTATGACCTAAATAATGGTAATTATTAGAAAGATTACGTGAGCATAAAAGGGAGGTGGCAAAGGATTGTAAAGGTGTGTATGGTGATTAATAACTAGAATACTGAATGTCAACATGACTCCTTGGAAAATTTTCTAAAACACTAAAACAGCAATAAAAAATTTTTATTTGGCAATAAATAAAACAGGTCCTATAAACTGCTCAAAAGTTATTGAAACCTTTCAAGTTAATGACAACAATGGGACCCTGCTATGTTTTTAGCATCAAATCAACGTAGGGAAATAAAGCAAACTTTAAGCATTAAGCCAAATATGACTTAAGAAGATGCAATTTCAGCAATTAAAAAATGACTATTTGTAATCACCCAAATCACCATCCAGAGAAACTGAAAAGTACCTGCAAATCTGATTTTAAAAATACAACAAACCTTAATGCCATCTCGGTTAAATAAGATCTTTCGAAAAGCACCTAAGAATGAACAGCTACAGGTCACACAGGCACTTAGAGCGTGTGAACATTAAAAGAACAAACTGCATTTCACCTAGCCTGAGACGTCCTCCTCCCCACTTCCTGACCCCCACTTTTCTGAAATCCCAGTGACCGTCACCCTGGGTTTAAGCAGAGTTCTTATAGAGAGGATTCGTTTTTCTCCAGCCAGGGGCCACAGCTGCAGCAGCTCTGACTTCTCACCCTGAGGGTTTTTTGAACACTATTGGCAGCACGAGGTCAGACTGTGAAGCTGAGTCAGTACCGGCCTTTCATCAAATTCTCAAATCTTTTGTTTTCTTAAACTGACTCAACTCTGTGCCAAGGTTGAGACACAAAAGTTTCCTTTCTGTGTGAAGTCTGTTTCTCCTTTACCTCTACACAAAAAGTGTAGCCTATCAGGGCCCCAGTTGCATAACAGGGGCCCTTTCAGGCTACCATCTTGGGTAGGTTTAATTCTTCCCTCAGCGGCACAGGAAATACTGGTGCATCTTAGAATGAATTACACAAACATGGTCAATGAAAAGGAATTACATAAAGTTAACTGCAGCAGCATTAAAGAAAGAAGGAAAAGAAAAATTAAAAAATGTACCTGTTATTTGCATATACTCGCAAAGGTCTTCTATCAAAATCACTTTCATATCTAAACCTCTCGTCCATTTCTTCACTTACTTCAGGATCATGGTCTGGTCTATGAGAGGGTCTATGAAAATCACGATCCTCATTCAACCTGCGAAATCTCTTATCTGCAAGGTCAGTCTTGTTGGCCAGCCTCTGCTGTTTTTTACTGGAAATATCCGCTCCTTCATTCGTGGTTTTCACAAGTCTCCTGGTCCTTAACTCAATTTCATCATCCAGTTGTCGGTACCTGTTCTCCTCCAGGCGCCTTTGGTTCAGAAGCTCTTCATAGGCCTGTGAAGGAGGGACGGCCTCTCTCCTAGGACCTTCTGAGTTTTGGGGGGTTGCTTGTATTTGTGAAGGCAAATCAGGCTTAACTTGACAAGTAGAGGTCTTCTCTCGTTCACTCTTAGGCTGTTTAATTAAAAAAAAAAAAATCTGAGTGCGATACAACTCTTTAAAAAGTATCCCCAAATGGCGCTTCATCTACTTATCCACTCTGGCACTGAGTCCCCGCTTAAGAACATTTTTTTTT